TATCTATCTATCTATCTATCTATCTATCTATCTATCTATCTATCTATAGACAGATAGATAAATATCTAACGCTGTCTCTCTTTCTCTCTCCCTCTCTGTATATATATACAAGTCCGACTATTTCTAGCCGGAACCTCTCAACCTCTCACACCAGCTCAGGTCCTTCCCCACCATTCCACATTAGCTCGGACATGGGTCACCGGGGCCCCACTCTGGAGCAGGGTCTGGAGGTGGGGCACGCGGGCGAGCACCTGATGGCCAGGCTTTTACCCATGGAGCCCGACCAGGCACAGCCCAAAGAGGAGACGTGGGTCCCCCTTCCCATGGGCTCACCACCTGTGCAAGGGGCCAAAGGGGTCGGGTGCAATGTGGGATGGTGGTGGCCGAGGGTGGGGACCTTGGTGGTCTGATCCTTGGCTACAGAAGCTGGCTATTGGGATGTGGAATGTTACCTCTCTGGTAGGGAAGAAGCCTGAGCTGGTGTATGACGTTGAGAGGTTCCCGGCTAGAAATAGTGGGACTCACCTCAACGCATGGCTCTGGCTCTGGAACCAGTTTACTTGAGGGGTTAGACACTCTTCCACTCTGGAGTTGCCCCTGGTGAGAGGCGCCAAGTAGGAGTGGGCATACTTGTTGCCCCCCATCTTGGCGCCTGTATGTTGGGGTTTACCCCAGTGAAAGAGAGAGTAACCTTCCTCCACCTACGTGTGGGGGGATGGGTTCAGACTGTTTGTGCTTACGCACCAAATGGCAGTTCAGATTACCCACCCTTTTTGGAGTCTTTGGAAGGGGTACTGGAGAGTTCGCCTCCTGGGGCCTCCCTTGTTCTGCTGTGGGACTTCACGTGGGCAATGACAGTGAGACCTGGAGGGATGTGGTTGGAAGGAAAAGCCCCCCAATCTGAACCAGAGTGGTGTTAACTGTTATCGGACTTCTGTACTCGTCATGGATTGTCCATAACAAATACCATGTTCAAGCATAAGGGTGTCCATATGTGCTCTTGGCACTAGGACACCCTAGGCCGTAGTTGGATGATCGACTTTGTTGTTGTTTCATCTGATCTGATCTGTGGGTGCATGTCTTGACACTCAGGTGAAGAGAGGGGCAGAACTGTCTACTGACCACTACCTGGTGGTGAGTTGGCGCCGATGGTGGGGGAAGATGCTGGTCAGACCTGGCAGGCCCAAACGTATTGTGAGGGTCTGCTGGGAACTTCTGGTAGAGTCTCCCATGAGATGGAGCTTTAACTCCCACCTCTGGGAGAGCTTTGAACACGTTCTGGGGGAGATGGGGGACATTGAGTCCAAGTGGGAAATGTTCTGCACCTCTATGGTTGAGGTGGCTTATCGGAGCTGTGGCTGCAAGGTTGTCTGTACCTGTCACAGTGGTAACTCTCAAACCCAGTGGTGGACACCAGCAGCAAGGGACATTGTCAGGCTGAAGAAGGAGTCCTATCAGGCCTTTTTGACCTGTGGGACCCCGGAAGCAGCTAATGGGTACCAGCAGTCCTAGCGGCATGGGGCTTGGGTGGTCGCAAAGGCAAAAACTTGGGCGTGGGAGGAGTTCAGAAAGGCCATGGAGAATGACTTCCGTACGGCTTCAAGGCAATTCTGGTCCACCATCCGATATCTCAGTGGGGGAAAGCGGTACAACACCAACACTGTTTATACTAGAGGTGGTGGGTTACTGACCTTAACTCAGGATGTCGTGGGTCGGTGGGCAGAATACCTCGAAAACCTCCTCAATCCCACCGGCACATCCAATGAGAAAGCGGAGCCTGGGTACTTTGGGTAGGGCTCTCCAATCTCTGGTGCTAAGGTCACTGAGGTGGTTACAAAACTTCTCAGTGGCAGGGTCCCGGGGGTGGATGAGATTCACCCAGAGTTCCTTAAGGCTCTGGATGTTGTGGGGTTGTGTTGGCTTACATGACTCTACAATATTGCATGGGAGAAGTCGGGGGATACATCGGGGGAAGTTCCCCTGGATTGGCAGACTGGGATGGTGGTCCCCTTATTCAAAAAAGGGGACCGTAGAGTGTGTTCCTACTACAGAGGGATCACGCACTTGATCCTCCCTGGTAAGGTCTATTCAGTGGATCTGGAGAGGAGGGTCCATCGAATAGTCGAACCTCGGATTCAGGAGGAGAAGGTGGGTTTCGTCCTGGTCATAGAATACTGGACCAGCTCTACAACCTCAGCAGGGTCCTGGATGGGTGTGTGGGAGTTTGCCCAACCAGTCTACATGTGCTTTGTGGACTTGGAGAAGGCATTCGACCGCATCTTTGGTGAACCCTGTGGGGGACCCTGGCACGGCCAGGATGAAGATCAGTTCCTCCAAATCCGAGGCCATGGTCTTGAGAAAGAAAAGGTTAGAGTGCCCTCTCCGGGTTGGGGAGGAGGTCCTGCCCCAAGTGGAGGAGTTTAAATATTTTGGGGTCTTGTTCACGAATGAGGGAAAAATGGAGCGTGAGATCGATAGGCGGATAGGTGCAGCGTCTGCAGTGACGCGGGCGCTGTACCAGTCTGTCGTGGTGAAGAGAGAGCTGAGTCAAAAGATGAAGCTCTCAATTTACCGGTTGATCTACGTTCGTACCCTCATCTATGGTCATGAGCTTTGGGTTGTGACCGAAAGAACAAGATCACGAATACAGGCAGCTGAAATGAGTTTTCTCTGCAGGGTGTCTGAGCTCTCCCTTAGAGATAGGGTGAAAAGCTCGGTTCTCCGGGAGGGACTCAGAGAAGATGTGCTGCTTCGCCACATCGAGAGGAGCCAGTTGAGGTGGCTCAGGCATCTGGTTAGGATGCCTCCTGGACGCCTCCCTAGTGAGGTGTTCGGGGCACGTCCCACCGGGAGGAGACCCAGAGGATGGCCCAAGACAGGCTGGAGGGACTATGTTTCTCGGCTGGCCTGGGAACGCCTTGGGATTCCCCCAGAAGAGTTGGCCCAAGTGGCTGGGGAGAGGGAAGTCTGGGCCTTCCTACTTAGGCTGCTACCACCGCGACCCGACCCCGGATAAGCGTAAGAAAATGGATGGATGGATGGATGGATGGATGGATGGATGGATGGATGGACCTGTAATTACTGTTAATTCGTCAGATCGGACGGGCTGCGGCCGGGTCGGTTCGGATTATTTGGACCCGAGTGCAACTTTACTGAGAGCTGAGCAACTGAGTCTTCTTCCTCTTAAGGGAAATTTTTTATTTAGTTTTATGCAAATGTATTTTTTTACTAAGCATATTTTCAAAATAAACATTTTGCAAGTCTTTATTTTGGCCTTTTTTGTATCGAAAATTAATCGAACCGAGCCCTCCTTGAAACTGAACTGAACCGAAATGTTATTTCAGCGTACCGTTACACCCCTATCTGATACACAGCTGTGACTCTGTTTGTATTAATACTTGAACTGTGCATGTGTTCAGTGCTTTCAGCACCGCCCTCTGGCGGTCATCCGGGATTCATAGAACTGTAGTAACACAAGTAACTTTCATTCTGACAAATCACACTACGCTCGCCTCAAACCCTGTAATAAACTAGTTCTTACTAAGGGCAATGCACAATACAGGGTATCAGCAGGTGATGAGAAAGGCAATCTATGCAATTTTCATCATGCACCTATGTCAGTGAGACACGAAAGTGACCCCCCTCAATGACTATAAATTCAGCTTAATAGGTGTAACATACGTATGCAGGCATGAGGGTCATCCAGCCCTCGCTGTGGATCTTGATACATGAAAGGTCTACAGCGTTCACACTGAGGCCCAGTCTTGTCATGGCGGCAGTCATCACACACACCACCGCTGACACCACCGGTTGCTTCGTACCGAGCTGCATCAAAGTGACACGAGTCTGAGTGACTATGACAATAACAGCCTAAAAGAGAAGATAAAACACTATCAGACTAAAAGGAGACACAACATAGAGGTTGAAAACTAATTAAGCAAAAGCCAGAAGACTGTTCGCAACAACTGTGACTGTAACTGAGTCAATTCCCACACAATTGCCTGCCACTCATGGTGGCGAACCAAAACTAATTTTAAATTAAAATATAAACAATTTTAGGATTAGGGATAATGCATGTGCAAAATAAAAAGCAGAAACATTGTAATAAATTTACGTCTGCAGATGTTTGCTGTGCTTTCTCCTCCAGGCCTCCATGGGGAGTCATTGTGAAACTGCAGACACCTCTCACAGTTTTCTCCAGTTGTGTTGTGCTGGCAAACACATCGACCATGAACCTGGAAGTAGAATATCATTTTACTTGAAAACTCAATGAGTGGTTAAGAGGTTTTAAATATTAATAGTTCCTGAACATGATTACAATGTATTTACCATACTTTAGGGTTTATAAGCTGCCACTTTTTTCACAGGGTTTGAACCCTGTGGTTTACACAATGCTGTAGCTAATTTATGGAAGGTTTTTTTTTTTGATGGGCTAATAAGATTTGGTTTCATCACACCCAGGCACTCACATAGATGTCCAATGCATGTATCTTGGTGGGGTGCAGATTCTTGTGATGCACACAAACAGAGTGAACCCCACAGGTCTTCATGCCAACTACCTCTCACACTCATGATTACTCTACTGAATGGCCTAACACAAACTAACTCATAATGAACACATAAACTAGGCTAAGAACAACAAACTAATAACTAAAAGAACAATGTTAAACAGCCAAAAAAGTCCATGCTCAATGTTAAACAGCTAACCGAAATGATTAACAATGAACAGAAATTTTACCAATAATTCCTCTCGGAGGCCATGTGACCTCCATGGTTTCGGTAGCCATAGGGTCATAATAACAGTAATCAAATGGTGGATAAATTCAGATTAGACACCTTTAAAGGCCTAAGAGTAAAATGCACAACCTGCCACTGGTAGTGTGTCAAGTCAGCATTTTCTCCATGATACTGCTAGACTTGGCTTGTTAAGAGGCTCATTACAGGATGAAGGCATTCAGTCACTTGTGCTGAATGAAAACATGTGAATAAATAAAAAGTAAATGCAATTGTTCACAAGATTACATAAAAAATACTATCAGTTAATGTAAAAGCCACAACTGGTGACAGTTCGTACCATGTCAGGCTGAGTGAACACATCTCCTCGTCCTCTGTTCGCAGGAACACACTGGCTGGCGTGTCCATTACAGAAGCAGCTCCCCTGAACCACCATGTTGTAAAGTGCGTAGTAATACTTCTCCTGCGGGTTCCTGCGTTTACGGATCAGCTGAGTGTCGCCAAGTGTGAAGAGATGAGTGAAGTTCACCCGAATATTGGTCAACGTGATCAGCTCTAAAGACAAACATTACAAATAGTTTCTGGTTTATTGTTTGTTTTCTGAAACACTTTAATATCGTGTGAATGCTGATTTAGCTTGAACTTGCTCTATTTTAGTCTTCTTATGCTAATTTTAATTTATTTCTGCTATTAGCCTTTAATTAGACTTTTGCTACTATTATCTTCTAGTTAGCCATTCTGATACTCCAAGCTACCTTTTTGCTACTTTTAACTAACTTTGGTTACTCTTACCTAACAGTTTGCTGCTTTTAGCAAACAATTTGCTAATGTGACGTTCTAGATCACCTTTTTCATGCTTTCAGCTACCCTGTTGCTATCTTTAACTAACATTTTCTACTTTGAATAAACATTGGCACATTTCTAGCTTTAGATTTCATTTTCCTTTAATTTTCTTTTTCATTTTTCTTTCCATTTTCATTTGACTTTTACAATGTTACCTTCAGTCTAGCTTATTTGATACTTTTAGCAAACCCTTTGCTACTTTTTACTATCCTCTTGGTGTTTTTAGATTTAGTTTTAACTTCAAGCCAACCATTTACTACTTAGATTTTAGTTAATCTTTTGCCAGTTTCACCTCCACTGTTGGTTATGTTTGGCTTTTGCCTAGTCTTTTCTTATTTTCACTAAAACTAAAACAAATGGCACATAGATTTTAGCTAACCTATTTTTTTAACACAATCCAGACTCTTGCACTATTTGTATACAAATGGAATGACCTGTAGTAGGCTACTCATGGAGGACCCCTACAGTGCACCTTTTTGATTGCTAGATTTTTTTGTTGTTGCTAGTGTTAGATATGTCCTCCAGTTGAACCTGATACGGCCTTGCCTTGCCCGCCCAGAGACTGACCTTGGATCTGGCTCTGACTGGACATGGCTGGTTCTATCTGTTCAAGGATGAGCTATCCCAGATCCAATCCCTAATTCGGAGTTCTTGTTTTTTTCTCTTACTTCTCACTTGCACATTTTTTGATAGTTTCATCACACTCACTGTTACCATCAGTTAAAACAATTATGACCAGTATGGTCTACACATAGTCATCCCACTGATACACTCAGGTTGCACTCCACCCATTATCCGGGGTGGAGTCTAAGACCAAGAAAACTGAGGTGATGCTTGAGTTCGGGCTTCTGCTGTTGAGATCCCCATTGTGACGGTTCCGACTGAAGCCTCAGCGATGAAAACCTGTAACTTTTCCTGCCTCATCTACATTAAATTGTAAAAACTTTATTCTTCTCGGTTTTTATTGAGTCATAGTGAGTCTTCTCTCCACCTGGGAATAAAAAGAACCGAAAAGGGCACCGTGGGCGGACGGCCCACACTAGGTTTATGTTTTAGTAGGCCATTTCCAACTTTTAGCTTTAGCTTGCATTTTTCTACTTTTATCTTTTAGCAAACTATTGGCTACACTTAGCCATTAGCCAGTCATTTGCTACTTCACCTTGTAGTTGATACTTTTAGCTAGCCTTTTGCTACTTTTAGCTTTAACAACTTTGTTTCAGCTTCTTCAGCACAGTTCTGCAAAGTCACTCTGCACTCAGATGATTGTAATCTCACAGAAATAGTTATTTCTTTACAGTTTTATTATGTTTCTTCTACTTCAATAATTTGGATAAACTCACCTTGAATGTTGGGAGCATATGGGTTTTCTATTTCAAAGACAGGATCCAGAGCTTTCAGCACCACCTTGAGGACAAACATCAAACTTGATCTGAATCACTGAACTAAAATAATTTTATCAATGTTTAAGTTAACAAGGATTAGAATAGTGAATATAGTTTTTGAGATGAGTGTTTTTCTGAACTGGAATTGAACAGGGATTGCAAGTAAACGTTAATTGGGTAACTTGTTTTGGGTGCATGATATTCAAGTGGATAGGAGTTACATTTTCTAGAAAAAGAAAGGTGTTTTTTTTTCTTTGTCCAAGGTGGAGCAAAACGACAGTTTTTATCCACCATCAAGAGCAATAGTTGTAAGGATGGCGCCATCTGTGGGCCTTCCTTGTCTGTACTCCCTTGTGTGTCTCATCATTTATCCAATTAATTTCACCCTTGTCTCGTGCCAGCTGTTTGTAATCACATCCTGTCTTGTCTGGGTATATAGTCTGTCTGTTAGTCTTGTTCATTGTTGCGTCGTCGTTGGGTCTACCCTGTCTTGTCCTGATCTGATGTGTTCCAGTCCTGACCTGAGTTGTATTCCCAGTTTTGTAAGTGTGCTGCCACGTCAGATATTTAATTTATTATCATTAAAAGTATTTATTTTTGTATCTTCTGAGTCCAAGTCCCTGCTTGGGTTCGTTCCTGCATGATAAATGCTGACAGAACAACGCGACCAACACAGAACCCAGCAGGCAGGGTTCTTCTCAGCATTACTCCCCATCAAACACCCCGAGGCTCTTTACGTTGTAGCCGGAGACTTTAACCACGTGAATCTAAAGGACTGTCTCCCAAGCTTTAATCAACATGTGACAATTCCGACACGTGGAGACAAGACGCTGGACCGTGTTTACACGAACGTAAAAGATGCATACAAAGCCAAACCCTGCCCCCACCTAGGACTGTCAGACCACATCTCAATCTTCCTGGCTCCTGCTTACATGCCCCCGCTGAGATGCTCCAGACCGGTACAAAAGAAAGTTAAATGCTGGATCCAGGACAGTGAGATTGTTTTGACCGAACAGACTGGCAGGTTTTCAGAGAAGCTGCTGAAAATGGAGGTTCGCTTGATCTTGACCAATACACATCCTCAGTTCTGGGTTACATTAGTACATGTACTGAAACCGTCTCCACTATCAGAAATGTTAAAAGCTACCCAAACAGGAAGCCTTGGCTGAATGCAGAGGTGCGTACCCTGCTGGAAGCCAGGAACACTGCCTTCAGGTCTGGAAACTCAGAGGAGCTGAGTAGGACAAGAAAAGAGCTGGTTGCTGGTATCAAGAAGGCCAATGCCACATATGCACAGAGGATTGAGGGTCAATTCATCTCACAAGACCCTCAGAGCATGTGGAGGGGCATTAAGTGCATAACAGATTATAAAGGAAGGAGCGAACAATGCCCCAAAGACCCATCTCTGCCTGATGCCCTCAACAAGTTCTATGCACGCTTTGAAGACCCGAACAGACCACCCAGCACCAGACTCACCTCACCACCGGATGAAGAGCATCTCAGCGTGACCTCAGCTGAAGAAAGGAGTACCTTCAGGAGGATTAATCTGCACAAAGCAACTGGCCCAGACAACATACCCGGAAAAGTGTTGAAGGAATGTGCTGATCAGCTCTGTGAGGTGCTGGCAGACATCTTTAACACCTCACTTATCCTGGAGACAGTTCCCACCTGCCTGAAGACTGCCACCATCATCCCAGTCCCAAAAAGCTCTACAGTGACTGGTCTGAATGACTATCGGCCAGTGGCCCTCACCCCGATAGTTGCTAAATGCTTCGAAAAACTGGTCATGACTCACATCAAAACAACCATCAACATGAATGAGGACCCTCATCAGTATGCATACCGTGAGAACCGATCAACAGAGGATGCCATCTCCTCTGTGGTCCACACTGCGCTCAACCACCTGGAGCAGAAAAACTCTTACGTCCGAATGCTCTTTGTGGACTTCACATCCGCCTTCAACACCATGATCCCCCAAACCCTGATGGACAAACTATCCACACTAGGACTAAGCCCCTCCATTTGCAACTGGGTACTAGACTTTTTAACAAACAGACCACAGTTAGTGAGGATCCACAACTTCTCCTCCTCCACCATAACCCTCAGCACTGGCTCTCCTCAGAGATGTGTGTTGAGCCCCCTCCTGTTTACTCTGCTCACGTATGATTGTGCAGCTACCCATCCAGGCTGTCACATTATAAAGTTTGCAGATGATACAGCGGTGGTGGGATGCATCACAAACCATGATGAGTCCAGCTACAGGCAAGAGGTGGAACACCTGGAGAGCTGGTGCAAAGAGAATAACCTTCACATCAATGTGAAGAAGACAAAGGAGGTGATTGTGGACTTCAGAAGGAACAAAAACATCTACACCCCACTGAACATAAGAGGATCTGAGGTGGAAGTGGTCTCCAACTACAAGTACTTGGGTGTACACATGAATGACAACCTCAGCTGGAGCAACAACACCACCAGCCTGATCAAGAAAGCTCATCAGAGACTCTACTTCCTCAGACGGCTGAGGCGAACTGGTCTGGGAAGCTCAGTCCTCACCTCCTTCTACAGGTGTGCAGTGGAGAGCATCCTGTGCTCCAGCATCAATGTGTGGCATGGAGGCTGCAGAAAGAAAAACTTTGCAGAGAGTGGTGAAGGCTGCACAGAAGTCTGTCGGAATCAGCCTCCCCACCATTACAGACATCTACACCTCCAGATGCAGGAAGAGGGCCACCTGCATCATGAAGGACCCCACTCACCCAGCACACACACTTTTTGCCCCACTCCCCTCAGGAAGGAGGTTGAGGAGCATTAAGTGTAGAACCACTAGACTGAGGAACAGCTTCTACCCTGAGGCTGTTAGACTCATGAATCTCTAAGTAAAATAATCACTGTGAAAAACCATATCATGTTGCTGCTGATCTGTTTCAACGTCGATGTGTTCATGCATGCACATCCGCTCACAGACTCATGTTCATGTTTGTGCTGATGTTCAATGTTTTTATGTTATGAGTGCTTAGTGTATTGTAGATGAACAGATGCTGGGATGTATTCATCATTTAACGCGGATTCCTCATTTTTCTGGACTGAATAAAACGTGCACTGAATTTAAGGAAATGCAAAGTGAGACGTCATTTAAATTTGACCCATCAAAATGAATGCGGTCATTTATTTACAGAATCAAATTTAACATCAAACATTTACATTAATTTGGCAAATTATGAAAATAACAACAAAGCAATCAATCAGGAAAAATCATACGGCCATGATTTTTCCGTTGCTGCACCAACAGACATTTATAACTGTACAACTATGATCTTTTACCCACATGAATGTGGGTAAGCACTTTACACAGACATTTCTAAATATCTGGGAGAATTTCTACTTGATAGAAAAGTTTAAGATGAAAGATGAAGTTTAAAGGGGAGAAAGATGGTGTTTGAGGTAGAGTGTTGAACAGAACGGCACTCTCCGGGCTTTCTTCAGCTTTTCCTCACAGTACACTTAGGTGGTGAAAACGACTCTTTTACCTGGAGATGTCTCAGGCGAGATTCCGTTTAACGCACCCTTTCAGCGTCTCCGTAGGATGCTGTTACTCGTCCGGAGTAGCGGCGAGGTTCTGTCCGCCACAGCTCACCTCAGTGGAAATGTTATAATCCCATGAAACTCGGAAGAGCTTTTTGTCATGTCAGAATCATCCCGTCTCTAACAGAACTACTCCAGCAACTTCAGAACTCCAGCAGTCTGAAAACTCATGAAGTCTCCGTAAACTCTCTCTCCGTAACTCTGGGAACTCTGAGTAGACCAGGAAGTACTGACATTTTAAAGACTCTTTCCCGGTTCACTTTTGGGATTTTTCATTGGTCAGAAACGACCAGAAGGGGTGTGTTTTTGTGACGTGAGAGGTTAGACGCAGCGAGAATTGTTATGAGACAGCTCAGAAATGTTCTCACAGACCGAGAGGGTTCTGTTTTGGCGTGAAAAAGAACCAGGTGCAAAACATCTCTATTTACGTCTGAGAGGATTCTAAAACATGACAGTTTTAACATAACAACTTGTTTTTCGTTTGAGTCCAACCTTGGAACGCACACACTTGCTCATTCAAAAGCAGAAATCAGAAACTGCATAATTACTCTGCAACAGCTTTTAACATGAGTTCTAACTTTTGCATGAGAATAAAAACCATTACTCAGTTAATAAAATTGATTAGTTCACTGCAACATCTAAAATGGTTTGAACTAAGACACTTTGATTATCAACATTTGTAAGATAGTAATGATAATAAAAAGAGAGTGTTCTTTTCACTTGAATCTTCAAGAAAGAAAGTCTCAGGATGGGTGAACCTGTATTTATGGATTCAAATACATGAAATGACAGCTTCTGTCCCACAAGGTTCTAAAGGTCAAGAGTTTTGACCTTAGACTTAGTTTCGACGTAGGCCTTGGTCCACTACAGT